TGTTGCATGCCCTGGGGTGCTGAAGCTGTTGCTTCACATGGTAGATAATTGTTCCTTTCAATTTTTTATTTATTTATTTATTTTTTTAGCCTTTTTATCCCCCTTCTCTTTCCTTTCCCATGATGGGGACTAGAGCAGGAATTCACCAGATGCCGCGCAGTGTGGTCAGGCTGGGGTGCCCCATGGCACTCAGCAGGTCCCCCTGCAACCCTGGCCTGGGGCCAGCTGTGATTTCTGGCTGCTGGACCCCACTAGCATCACGGAAAAATCCTCTAATCGCCTTAGGACCTAAAAATACCCCGACCTCAGGATGGAGGATGGCACGGCTGAGCAGATGCCTCCCTCCCCGCAGGGCCAGAATAACATGGTGAAAACCACAGGCTGACTTAAACCTTGCTCCTGGTGCTCATTCCAGTGTGCTCCCCGCTGCAGTCACACTGGGTTTCCCCAGAGTTGGGGGTGGGGTCCGGACGGGATGCTGTGGCTCAGGGAGTGCTGGTGGAGGGATTGGGGGGGGAAGATGCCCAGGCTTGGCCAGAGGATGTGCTTGGGGAGTAGAGGGAGAAAGATGCTGCTGGGTGCTTGGTGGGCCCCATAGAACCCAAGTCCTTAACACCACCTTCATGTCCCTTGCAGAAGTGCCTAACTGCCAGTCCTCATACCTGCGGGGTGGCATCTTCCCCAGCAGCCATGATGGTGAGTGTACCTCTGCTCATGGGCATCCCTGGCGTGTCCGATCCCTCCCTCGGGGCAGGCAGAGCCACTGGGCACCCCAAAAACACCCATGAGAGCCCTGTGGTACCTGTGATAGCCTACATGGGAGCAGCACTGGCAGCAACACTAAAAACAGGGCCTGTGCTGTGCAGGCACTGGCGCCTGCAAGCATGCTGTGAGGGCACAGTAGTGCCATGTAATCTAGGATAATGCACCCAATGTAGCTGCTAAGAGGGTTCTTGTTTCCCCGGCTCCCTGGGGTGAGTGGGACAGAGCTGTGTGGCACTCAGCTGGCAAGCTGGTGTGATGCTATTGAAATAACTGGGGGATGGGTCTGCTCCCAGCACTGGGGAGTGGGGTCCTGTTTCTGGATTAAGTCAAGCCAGGGTTCTTGGGGAGTCCATCTGGGGTGGTGAAGGGACCCTTTGCTCACTGAGGTTCTCTTCCCCATAGGATTTTCATATGAAAAGGACACACGATTGTATTTTGATGACACATGCGTGGTACCAGAGAGGCTGGAGGGTAAGAACTTGGCCCCAGAGGAGGGAGGGTTGGGGGGTGGCCAGGGCTCACACAGGTTGATTTGAGGCAGGGCCCTGTAGTGGCCAGCTTTTAAAGCCAAGATGTGCTGGCACAGTGCTCTTGAGAGCTGCTGAGCATCATCCTGCACAGCTGCTTGGCATCATGGTCATCAGTGCTATACCCTGTCCCTGCCACCCACCCTGTGCCTCACCTGCCTGCAGCACCATCACCAGCACCTCTCCCCCCTTCAACTCTGGGGCCTGACCCTGCACAGAGGGTCTTGGCACAGGGGTGAACCTAGTTTAATCAGCTGTGTCTTGATGCGGGCAGGTAAAGTGAAGCAGGAGCCCACCCTGTACCGTGAGGGCCCTCCCTACCAGCGGCGTGGGTCCCTGCAGCTCTGGCAATTCCTGGTCACTCTCCTGGATGACCCTGCCAATGCCCACTTCATTGCCTGGACCGGTCGGGGCATGGAGTTCAAGCTGATCGAGCCTGAGGAGGTACGTGGGATCCTGCCTCAGCAGCAGGCATGTTGGAGACTGGGTCGAAGGGCAAATCCTTCCTATGCAACACAGCAGTTTACACTTACACTCTAGGCAGCTTTTGAGGAAAAGAGTGAAAAAGCCAGGAGAATCCCCTCCCTCAACCTGCTGGTCACGTTCCTTTTGATGCAGCCCAGGACACGGTTGGTTTCTGGGCTGCAAGCGCACACTGACGGGTCATGGTGAGCTTCGCATCAGCTGACACCCCCAAGTCCTTCTCCTCAGGGCTGTTCTTAATCCAGTCTCTGCTCATCCTGTATTTGTGCTTGGGATTGCCCTGACCCGGGTGCAGGACCTTGCACTTGGCCTTGTTAAACAGCATGAGGTTTGCACTGTCCCACCTCTCCAGCCTGTCCATGAGGATCCATTAAATTCACCTTTAATCTCCTCCACTGCCTCTCAGCACAGCACACACTGCTCCCGGAGCCACCAGTGCTCACTGACCACAGTGGAATGGCCCAGACCTGCTGCTGGGCCATGGGTTCCTCCCCCCCAGCATGCTCCCGGG